ACTGCAGGCGCGGAGTGGTGGGCTACGCGTACTCCAGCGCCAGGATGGTCTTCCGCAGGCGCCGGTCGATGAAATGGGCATCCCAGGCTGGGTACTTCTTCCTGGGCAGGTCAATGCGGATGACGGGCCCCTCTGTCCGCGGGGCGCGGGCAGCCGGTGCCGGTGGGGGGCAGGGTCTCACCTGGAAGACGGGCACGCAGCTGTCCCGCTCCCCCGGCGCCCCGTCCCGCTCCCCCCCTGTAGTCCGCGGCAGTGAGCGGGGAGGGCTGGTGACGGCGTCTGTGGGGGACCCCGGCACTGGGGCTGGCCGCTGTCGGAAAATGCAGCCCCCGGTGTGGGGGCCGAACATGGGGCCGTTGGGGTGCAAGAGGCAGTAGTAGATGAACATGAAGAAGATGCCGAGGGCAAAGCTGGAGCTGACCACGCAGACAAGGATTAAGGCGTCGAAGTCAGAGGTGGCCTTGCGGTCGTAGTAGAGGAACCAGAGGACGGTGAGAGCGGCGTTCTCCGACAGTGTGATGACGTAGTAGATGCACATGCGGTAGCGGCTCCTTCCCTCCTTGACGTTGAACCAGCAGAAGATGTAGATGATGCCTACCACCATGTTGTAGATGATCTCCTCCCACTTGGACATGCAGAAGTCCGTCTCGCCCTGGATGATCCAGAAGGTCATAATGCACCAGTGGGTGACGATGAAGATGCCAAAGTAGAGCTGGAACACAGAGGCGAAGAGGGCGAAGGCGATGGCGCGCGCAGCGATGGTGAAGAGGTGCCACAGGATTTGCACTACTGCCCCCTTGTAGGACATGGGATTCTTGTCCTCCCGCGAGTCCCGCAGCACCTTCTGGTAGGAGGCGATCATCCACGCCAGGGAGACCAGCGAGGCCGAGGCCGAGAGCCCTGGGGGCGCAAAGCGGGGAAGGGCAGGGAGAGCCTGTGGCAGCCTGGGGTCCCCCCTCCAGCTGCCCCCATCCCCTGCCGCAGGGGCCGTGTCCCTTACCCTGCAGCGGCTCGATGCTGTTCTGCTGCACCATGATGCTGAGCTGCAGCACGAGCTGGGGCGCGCTCTTCAGGAAGGTCTCCAGCAGCCGCAGCATGCTGATGTCTGCGCTCTCGAACATCATCCGCCAGTAGAAGTGGCGGCGGCGGTGCTCGGCCTGCCACCGGCTCTGCAGCCCCAGGTACAGCGTGCGGAGGTACCTGCGCAAGGCGGGGTGTGAGGGTGAGACGAGCCCTCGCTGCCCAGGTAGCCGAGCTCACCTACCCCTGCCCACGCTAGGCATGTCCCATAACTGCCACCAGCCCACTCCAGCAAGCAATTCCCCTCTGATCTGGGGCCATGGAAAGCCCCCCACGCTGGGGGTGCAGGGGGCTACGGGGCAGTGGCAATGCTGAGCGCATCCCTGTCCCACGCCGGGGCCCTGAGATGCCGGGAAGGGGCAGTTTATGCAAAGCCAGCTCAGCACCCTGCTGTCCCGGGGCTCACCTGGCCATCGCCCCACTGCCCACCCAGCCATCACAGTGGCCCTGGTGCTTCTCAAAGGGGATATCTTTGTCCTGGCTGGCGCGGAGCCCACCCTGCCTCCCCCTGCCCCGTCCAGGATGGAGGCACCAGCTGGTCGTGCCGTGGTGCCCGCGGGAAGCTCCTGGGCTCTTGGCAGGGCTGCGGGTGCGGGCACATGCCGGCCCTGGCCATCTGGTTGTCAGCCGGGGGTCAGTGGAAGTGTGCGTGGCACCGACGCACGCACTGGCTGAGTCACCGCCACCAGGGACCCCTCCCCACGGCACAGGGCCAGATCCGGGCACCACAGGAGGGGACACGGGGCCGGATGGGCAGGGCATCCCCGGGCAGCCCTGCCTGCACCACCGGCCAGTGGCTCCGCTGCTTCATGAGGAAAGAGGGAGCTGGACCAGGAGGAAAACAGAAAGACGAAGCTGGAGGATGTCGGGCCGCAAGGTTTCCTCCCAGCCAAGTCAAACCATCACGTAGAGCGATGGCCTTTCCATCAGCTCCAGAAAGAGCTGCCAGCCAACTCCATTAGCCTGGAGCGCGGGAGAAACCCTGATCCCAGCACTTTTGGCTCATACATCAGTGGGAGGAGACAGGAGATGGCCCTGCTTCCGCTGCGGGGATGGCCAGGTGCTCCCAGCCCTGGGCTACACAGCCCCAGGACCACAGTGGGGGCCATCAGCTGGGGCCACCAGGGCCTCCATGCCACCCCGCTGCCATCTGGGGCAGGGTGGGCACGCTGGTCTCACGGGGCTCCCGTGGTCTTCCCCAGCGAGGCCACTGATGCTGTGTCGGCCCCATCACTGCCTGCCTATCCCTTCCCACCTGCCCTGCTGGAAGCCCCAAAAAGCCCTCCTGAGAGCTGGCTGCCGGGCAAAAAAGTTGCTGTCAGCACATAACGCAATTTTAGTAGTTCCGCTCCAGTTTCAGCAGGTGCCGATGGCTGCAGGGGCCATCCCGCGGCCAGCCCAGCTCCCAACCCCCACTGGCTTCTTTGCACCAGTGTCAAAATGATGCTTTAACCCCCTACCTCAGGGAGATTAGCTAATTTTAGCCTTTGCCATGGCCCATCCCTTGCTCCTCCCTCTGCTTAGTGGCCCCTGCACAGAGCAGCACAGAGTGAACCTGCGGGCACAGGGCAGGGGACACGGCTGGGGCTCACCCATGGCAAAACATGGGGTGCAACGACACCGGTGCTCCCAGACCTGTGATGGGGCTCCTGGCACAGATCTGTGCCCTGGTGGACCCCACTGGGGACAGAGGGCACAGCACAGGGAGAAGGCAATGAGAGAAGCGATGCAGAGCCCGGGATGCTGCAGGGCATCGTTGCTGGTCCCAGAGCGTCCATGCGCAAATGAGACCTGGACAGCGGCGACCTCATCCTCTCCCTGTAATCAGCCTCACTAATTGGGCCCGTCAGCACCAGGATCCTGCCATCTGCAGCATACAGCGACCGCCCGTGCACAGACCCCAGAGCCGCACCGTGCCCGGCTCCTCAGCCGCTCAACAAGTGACCCGCAGCCTCCCCCAGCTTTGAGCAGGGGCACAATTACCCTTCTGTCTTCCTGTCAGCTCCATAGATCTCATTAAAATGAGATTTCATCTCCCATCAACTTGCCAGAATGAAATGTTGATTCTTATTTGTTATGCATTTGATCATCCCGTGGTGTTTCAGCCCAGAGAAACATCCCCACGCTGACAGTGCACGGCGAGTGCTTACCAACCCAGCGCTGCAGCAGCTGCATGGGAAATACAAAATCAATCACTTGAAAAAAAATCATTTAATTTTCAAAAAACTGATGATAAGGCAGAAACCAACCGCGAGAGCTCTCAGGGCTAATTGCACCCTCCTTTGTATTACAAAGAGTAATCCAACGAAGCCCCTGCAGCGGGAAGGTGGTAGGCTCAGGCGGGTACCGGGTTTGCCAGAGCCCTACCATGGCCAGGTCTCCAGAGCCCCACCATGGACCGGTTTGCCACCAGTGTCACTGTTTATCCTCAACTCCCAGTTACTGACCGCAGTTTCCAAGTGTTGGACAAAAAGCGTGAGGAGAAAAGCCCGGCCCTGGTTACAACCAAATCCACTAATTGTCATCCTCAGATGGAAAAGGACGAGGGACCCTCCCAGTCTAAGAGTGAGCAATATGGAGTGTGATTTTCCTAGAAGGTAATTTGGGATATCATCCCTTAATCCTTTATTTAAATGAGGAGAAAATTGCTTCCCTGTTGCAGCTATTTTAATCCCTTACACATCCCTCCAAGTCAGGTCATCGGGGAGAATTGCACGTGTGCCCAGCTGGCACGGCACGGCACTGACGAAAGCTCCCATGTTCCACTTGTCCCCACACCCCAACGTGCCCTGGGTCCCCTGGGCAGACAGGAGCAGCCGAGGCCACTCATTCTAAGGGAGAGGCTTGGTCTGGCCCTAAAAAGCCCCTTGTCCTGTGCATGGGGCCAGGCGGGGACCCCTAGCAAGTGACCCACCCCAGGGCTGGATCCTGCAGCAGGACAAGCTGTCACCCCAAAGCTGGGTGCTCCCAGGGCTGACAGGGCTCCTGAGCAGGTGGAGCAAAGTCCTGGGGAGCAGAGGGGTTGTGGGGGGGGAACATGCGGGTGCCAGCTCTGCCACCTCTCATGAGCCCACCCAGGGAGCTACTGAGGGTGTCCATACCCCATAGGACTGCCACCAGACTGGCATCAGAACTGAGGGGTGGCACCAGGTCACCAAAGCAGCACAGGATGGGGGGACGTGGGCTGATGGGGGACTTTCGGGGAGGACCTGTGGGTGGAGAGAACACACCGGCCCTGGTCCCAGTGACCCCCAGGCAGCTACACCAGGTGTGACCCTGGGCTAAAGCAGACACAAGGGCACAACGGGCACGGACAGGGCTATCGCTTGTGCAATGGGACCTGCAGAGACACACCAGCCAGCTGCCAGCCCATGGAGGTGGTAAGGGGACCCCAGGCATGCTGCCGGGTGGGAGGCACGCATGGCATGCACAGCATCCCTTCCCTTTGGTGTTTCTTGGGTGAAAAATCTGGTGACTTTTTGCGAGCAGAGTGGATAACAATTCCTGAGCGGCAAAACCATCCAAGAAGCTGCTTACATGAGCACATGGTCATGCAACCGTCACTGTCACCAGAGAGCATCCGTGGCGGAGTATTTGCATGTGCATCATGAACATGCTGATGACAACTAACTTCGGCAGCTTCTTGCAGCAGCTTAAATTTGAGACAATCTCAGAGTCAGTGCTCAGAGCTGCCTTTGCAGCTGGGAAGCAGCTGTATTTTGTGATTTGGGGGTCTTTGTCACAGCTGGGGCTTGGGGCTGTGCAGCGATGGATTTGGCAGGGGTGAGATCTCTGACAAGGTGATTGCAAGGCAGCAGGAGGCAGGTAAATCAGGGAAGGGGGGGATGTTTGGCAAGGGGCATGGTGCCCTGGCTAGGGAAAAGCCTTGCCTTCACATGCAGCATTTATTCAGCACTTCTTTAACTGCTACATCCACCTGCATCGGATCCAACCTCACTAATGGGTTTAGCAAACTGCATTTAACTGGTCACCCGAGCTAATCCCAAATCCCGAGATTAGAAAGAGCCTCAGCTGCAGCTTGAGACCAACATGTCCTGGAGGGTTAGTACTGAGAGTTACTGCTTTAATTGGCTTAAGAGCCTCCGTGGTGCAGCAGATCAGGAGAGCATCACTGACACCACCGGGAGCAAAGCCCCCAACCGCAGCCTGGCCCCAGCTCAAACCAGGACCAGGCAATTGCCTGCAGGGCATTATGGCCAAGACTGGCTAGAGGCTCAGTGGCCTGTGGGCCAGAGAACTCCAGTCCTCTCCCTCACCAGCTCCTCCAGCACATTAAGGCAAGGTCTGCAGCTGTCCTGCAGACAATGTACCCTAAGAGCTGCCATGGGGATGGAGTGGGACCAGTGAGGGTCAGGCAGTGGCTGTGTTGGGGAGGGAAGGGGTAGGAGCCTCTAGCATGGTGCATGCTGCAATGTGAAACAAAGTTAGACATCCCAGGAGCATCCCAGGAAGGGCAGCACACGAATGAACAAACGCATGCAGACAACAACAGGGAGTGGAGGAGCCTCTGTACTACAGTAGCTCAGGAGGGGAAACAGCACCGAAACCTGAGCTGGGAGCGCTGCCTGCTCAGAGCATTGTTCCGGGAATTTGCCATTGTCTCCCCTCCCCTCCCAGCACCACCCTCCCTGGGAAGAAGCTCCGTGCCAGAGTCACGGCTCTTCCCTGGCGCCCCGAGGATGAAGCTCAGTGAAGCTGGGAGGGAGCTGTGCCGGCTCCATGGCATAGGGGAGGAAGGTGCCAATAAATCATCAGCTTGGGCTTTGGAGGGTCTGTGGAGATGCAGGCAAAGGGTCCCGAGCCTACCTGAGTCTGCCAAGCTGCCACTCGCCCTGCTTGCACAGCGTGCCTTCCCCCAGGCCCAGGAAGGGTCAGGCAGCAGAAACACAGCCCCGGTGGGAAAGCCTGGCCAGGCTGGGGGACAAATGGCACCTCCTCACCCACAACCCCGCAGACTACGGTCAGCTCTGAGCAGAAGCAAGGGGAGGTGCCTGGGAGGAGGATCCAAGCCCAAGGTGTTTGGTGCCCGGCAGAAGCGCTCCACTGCCCCTGGCACCCGGCTGCCATAGCCAGGCAGGCCCCCAGCAGGCCCAGT